TTTAGATTTTTTTGAAGAACTATTTTGATTGTTTGTTTTCTTATGGAATAAGCCGGTAAACGAGCTGACGGATCACCTGATGGTAAGCAATCGGCGCCGCCGAAACACCAGAAGTGTTACAAGTGCGTTACTGGCCTTTTAGGGATTAGAAATTTCAGGATTATTGGGGATTCAATGCAATTCTTTAAACGTACGTTCAAGTATAATGTTCTATTTTTGCTTTTGGTTTCAATCGTCTTACATATATCGAAAAAAGATAGGACCTAACTTTAACCGAGTGTATTATTTCTAACTTATCTCATAATTATATCGCACCAATTAGGACCATGTAACAGTTGAAAACAACGCAAATATTTCATACTGATGTCACTAAATGTTGTTTTCCTACACGTTAAATCTAAAACCGTCCTAAAACTTTGGTATTCAAATCATAAGCGGTTTAAATCATTGCTAAAATGATAAGGGTGACGGTTTGATGTAAGCCAGCTAATTTATGCATGGTCTTGACTATCGTCCCGTGATCCCACGATGCTCAGTTCTGAATCGTTTGACTTTGGTACGTAAAGCTCATTAGCATATTCGAAATTTTCATCCCAAAGGATGGTGTGATCCTCAGAATTTAATATGTTCATGTAATTTGTTTGGAAAGTTTTAAACGTGGCAGAGCGTGAAAGTTGAGTACTTTTACGGGGCGTTTCGTTACTTATTCGTTTATGTTCGTTTAAGAAATGTGCGTAACGTTTTATTGTGTTTTTTTATATGCTGCACGTGTTTGTTAATTGAATATGTTAAGTTAATTAAAAGGCTCGAAGCAAAGATCCTAATTATAGGTGATTTGTCTATTTATACATAAATACAATAATAATTTTAACGGCGTCTATACTACATACCTACACTACACCTGCGTTTCCTATCACTAAAAACAACTGTGATATATACCTAAAAATAAAAATACTTAAATAATTTAATACAACATTTTTTATAATAAAAAAGTTATGACAACAAACTGCCAGCCGACACACCTGTAATAAATAATAATAAAACGCACAACGCCGTGACAAAGTCACAGCGTGCAGATTTATACTTTTTGCTCTAGTTTATAGTCAGTTTCGGGTAGGCGAGCCTACAAACAATTGTCGTTGAACATTTATGACACCACAAATTAAATAGTATATGAGAGGTTAAAAAAAATTGGAACAATTTGGGTGCAGGAAGTGTGTTCTTGACACAAATATATTCATTTTACGAGGTTACAATAAGGAAGTATTGAAGTAAGTTGAACGTTTTTTTATGGCATTTTTTTAAGGGGGGAAAATCATCGAATGTCTGCTCCCGCCTGGGTGAGGCGGGAGGGAGTGTCAGACTCTTACTGACTAAAAACCACCCCGTTCCTTCTCCTGCACGTCGAACCGGAGCCCCGGTTACCCGTTAGATTCCCCGCGATTTTTTTATGGCATAAGCCAGTAAACGAGCAGACGGATCACCTGATGGTAAGCAATTGGCGTTGCCCATGAACACCTGGAACACCAGAGGCGTTACAAGTACGTTACCGGCCTTTTGGGGATTAGGAGTTTGAGGATCGTTGGTATTCAGGAATTGGGGAGATTGGGGAAGGGGAGGGTAATTGGGCCTCCGGTAACCTAACTCACACAAAACACAACGCAAGCGTTGCTTCACGTCGGTTTTCTGTGAGGCCGTGGTATCACTCTGGTCGAGCCGGCATATACGTGCCGAAGCATGGCTCTGCCACACTTAAAACGTGAGACACGTGGAGAGAATTTTATGTATTGTTTTACTTTTGACAAAGGAGTACAAAAAACTCCTTGCTTACGTACGGCTGAAAATTATCTATTACTTAGGGTAGTAATACGATGTTAAAGTTTATAAATCTGTGTAGGTAAGGTCATAATTAAAATATTTGTCAATCTACAAGTTCAAGTGTTTTTCATGAGCGTATTTTTTGTGTTGCGTAATTTTCAATCGAATTGTAATTAATATAAAGCTCAATGTAATACAAACCTTTGTTTTTGTTACGTCCTTATACTAAAGACGTAATTGGTGAATTTTGTGAAAAAAAAAATATAGTATACTTAGTCCACCCAGAAGTCGATGACATAAAATTCTGGAAAGACCAAATATTGTTAAAGCTATCAATGGACTAACTATATAAAAAAATAAACTTTTAAAGCCTTAAGCGAAATAGAAAAACAAAGAGTTCGTGCCCTATTATCTTAATTCTCCACTAAAGACTTCCCAACTATGAGCCGTCCGGTTTTAAGGCCGACCCTAATGACGTTCATTTGTCTAAATTCTTCAACTCTCGAACGGAGTAAGAATTATTTTTAATTAAACCCCTCTTAGTGTTGAAAGTTTTCATTTTCACGTCCGCAAAAGAAAATTCTTTAGCGTATCTACCTAATTTTTAATTGAATAATTCTTTTATTAACTACATTTTAAAAAAATCGACCGCAACCCCCTTTTTTGAAGACAGTCTGTTAAAAAAGGAAGGTTTGTGTTCGTCTAGACTAGGTCTAGATTTTATTTTGTATGCGTTTATATAAGTACAATTTATTCAGAAAATTATGTGAATTGAAAATCTACATTCCTGATGTGCATAAATACGAAGTAATAACTAACGGTGAACCGTAGGTTGGCCGTTGGTTGGCCTATACTAAAGTATGGGCTCCTCAAATGGCTAGAAATAAGGCGAGAAATATTTTCTAATAGTTACATGAATAAGCCTTGTAGCTAAGATACTAATTTCATAAGTAAATCGAAAATTATTTAGTTTTTGATTTGACAAAATTAATTACTAAACTCAATTTTCGCTACGTAATTTATAACATAATTGGTAAAAAGAGAATATTACTGATACATTTAATATATAAATGTATCTGCTTATGTATATAACACAATAATACAGCTAAAATCAATAAACCTTCTATCTCAACAGACGTGTAAGCGGTCGTAAAATCTAATACATACTAAGTAAATTCGTGGCAACATCGTTAGGCTTCGGTGTTGCCAGCTCAAAAAGATACACTTGTCGGCCGTTTCCGGACAGCTGTCGCAGGAAGCTCATCCGTCACGAGTGTGGCAACACTGAGTTGACAAGGGCTACATCGTGTCAACAGTATTTTGTTACTAGAACAACTATTTACGTACAAACATGTATTGTATTTTTGCTGGAACTCTTTTAGGTAGTGGTTTGGTCAGAAAATGTCTCATAACCGTTTTCACCACCTACCCCTACACCATATGTTGACTAAGGGTTTCTTAGCGTGACGTAGCACCTAAACCAACCCTTTACTTGTACTGTTAGATGTCGGCTAAAGGTTGGTAACAACTACTACTTTCTTAGTTTAGGGATCTCCTTAAAATTTTGGAGAGGTTGAAAAGAGGTATGGGTGATTTTTTTTGGTAATTTTACTTTTTACCGGATTATTTAAATAAATGATTCGATTTTGACTTCTTGTGAGCCGATTTTTCCAACGCCAGATAAATTTTAACTGAAGAATAACTTTAAATATTTGTCAATTGTTCCACACTGAAAACTGACAAAGGCCAATTTTGTTCTACAGTTAAGAATGAACTGATGTTTGAAAAATCGGCCGTTTGCAGCTGTCTTTTATTTAATGAAGTATTTTTTAACTACGAAACTCATAAAAATGTTCGTTATTATATTTCGAATCATTTATATTTTAATGAATCAATGAAATAATGCTATATTGTTTTAGGTGTACCTAAAACTATTTAGAATTAAACTAGTCTCCTATTTGCTTGTTTAAATCCTTTAATGAAGTCGTAAATAAGACGGTCACTAATGCTTTAGTGTCCGTCTTATTTATGACTTCATTCCCATCACAAGTCATATATTTCAAGTCCGCCATGATGAATTGTTGAAAGATGAACTCCGTAAATAGCTAATTGGCATATTTCAACAACAATTTACGTACTTATTTACACATTTCAAGCTTTCAGTCTAGGTAGACATCTTGATTCTAGTCAAAGGCGCAGTAAATATGGGTGTAATGATGAAGAGAGAACTCGCTAACCTAAAAGAGATTTTAAAAGTCGAAAGATAGGGTATAAAATTGAATGTTGTAGAGCTTCAAAGCAATGTAACTACATATTAGAATGTAAAGTTCAAAGACAAGTTTATAAATACATAGATAAGAAATTACTCAATTAGGTACTTTGCCTCGTCCGTCGAGTGTTGGCAAGTACGACTAAGGATGTGGGGTTCGATTAGCTTAATAGAAAAAGCACTTTGTGGTACTTGGCTTTTATTTTTTCGGAATTATCCTCGATGTATGGAAAAATGCGCAACACATACATACCTGGTACAAAGTGATGATATTGATAATAAAATATATACAACTTAAGATTAAAATTATATAAAAGAAAAACAAAAACAACTATTTACATAAAGCATCGATATTGATTGATATTGATATTGATGATAATATAATTATTATCGTCATTGGACTCCAACCACGGACTAATAATAGCCTCAATAATACAAACTCTTTAATTCCTATTAACATGTTTAATTCTTATAATAGACTTTCAGCCTTTATAGTTTGCAATAAAGTAACCTATAAACCTACTAATTAATTTTCTGGTATTATACAGGACGGATAGGCGTTGAACATTTATAGGAAGCGTTTATTATATCTCAATGAAAAGAAAAATAAGTTCAAGGTCATCATTATTCACGTAAGATTTATCATAATTTCGGCTACGGGTCAAGATCACACCATTATTTGGCTTGTCTACGGGATAAAATCACTGTCAACCATTCGCTATTGGCCATAAACATTTGAACATACTACTAATGAAAACTGTTGACCGCCTCATTTCAAGGAAAGCTGTTCATCATCGCATTATCCTACGTCGCCGTCGTCTAATTAAGGTCGTCATCTACATACATTAATCTGGAGAAATATATTCATTAAATAATACGTTGGTGCTAAAATTATGTTTATTCTTCTTTGCAGGCTCGGAACAAGCCAGCTGACGGTGGTGGCCATGTCAACCAGAAGAACGCAGCTGGGCAAAAGTCTACCACGCCTTGTCAGAAAGGTAAGGCATTGGATTTTCAATTTACATGTCTTGAATTCAACAGTTTTATTTCTTTGACTAAAGAAATAAAACTGTTAAGTTCGGACTGTAGTGAAAAGATATCTATTGATGTCTATCGAAACATATTTCTCCTTATATTAATGTTCTATATTTTATAGAATAACGGTAGGAAATATTTAAACGTAATATGTTGCTGGATATGAACAGTTCTTTTTGTATTTTTAATCACATAAGATGATATTCGTTTCATTGTATATTTCATTACTTCCAAAGATTTATTCCTAACAATAGGATATCCCACAGTAAATGATTTTACTTTCTTGTCATAAAATTTCTTTATTTGAGAAGCCCTTGCGTTTGTATCTCTGTATGTTAAGTTAAAAACTCTTGTTACAATTCTGTTCTTAACACCAGGAGGCCCAAAAACCCCCGTGAAGCCATCGGCGCAGAAGGGCGCAGCGAAAACCGCTCCCCCGAAGCAGGCAGCAGCAGCAGCGGCAGTGAAGACTCCTCAGGGCAAGAAGAAGAAAGGCCACAAGCACCAACAGTATGAGCTGATTGTCACCATCAATCTGGTAAGTAATACTTAATAACTTAAACATGCTGCTAGAATTCTGACAATTATACAGATAGACATAGTGCATCAATAAAGCCAAGAAGTTCTTCGACAGAAAGTTTCGAACTATTTCTATAACAGCAGCCTAGCTTTTAACTTTTCCGGATCATCCATTCGCTAACATCTTCCCCATTTAAAAGAGCAATACTTCATCTTAGTCTTTCATTACGTACAGCACTAAAACTCAAGCATTCAGCTCTTGTCAGAATACATTTATGTATTATATGTCTCAAAACATCAACTGGTTCCATTCAAGGCACGGAAACGCATTTTTTCCGCTATCAGAATATATTCTGTACAAAAACACAAAAGATAGTAGGCATTCACCATAATAGTGTTCAGCTATTCACAATAAGTGCGCCATAAGCGATTACTCGTATTTTTACGAACAAACCCAGCTTCCTGACAAAATAAAACGAGGTAAAGTAATGAACTGCCTCATAAAATAAAAGTGAGCCTTATCGTGGGAAACTTTTACATCTGTCTCGTTCTAACTTTCCTACTTTCGAATAAGATGTCTCACTCTAACCCATGTTTCCGCGATCCGGCACGCGTAATCGTCTGTGATTGGATTATCGAAAGTTGTTTGTGAAAACGTATTTTTTGTTTTGTTTTTGTTGTCCGCATTTCATTTAGATTTTTTCGGAAACTCTCTCAATATCACGGTTGAGTTCGTTGACTGTTGCAGAATAAAAGCGGATTTTTAATTTGACATTTGACAAGTCCATTAGGGAAATAAGAAAAAAAAATAAAACTCTCCTGTTTTTTTATATTTTTCGCTTTCATTGAGATTCTTGCTATACATTTCAATGAAGTTTTTTTAAAACGCAAGAAGCGTGACTGACGTTAACATTTCTAAAATTTTATTATATTTATGTTACCAAACAACTTTTTCTACAAAAATCGGGATACCTACCTATTCATTTAAAAAAAAAAACGTTGCCTCACACTAGGATTTTGTCCTGTGTCGCTGACATCCTGTGACACATTACACTTAGACCCGGAAAAACAAACTGTGGATTACGCAAAGAGTTGTTCCGGGCAAGTATCGAACCTGCAACGCAATGCGCGGCACTCAATAGTTGACAGTTGCGCAACCACCACGCCAACCATGCAGTCATTTTTGTACTACAATGTGTTGTTTTTTTTCGGATCACAATTCGGATCCATTTTTTGGAACAAATGGACCTAACACATCCGTTTCTCCTCCAGATTTCTTATTTTTTTCTAACTAACCCAAACCTCCATGTCATTCCTACCGTTGTCATTATCACTCTCTCCTATTTTCGTCTAAATCCCTCTAATTACCCTGTTTTTCTCTCTTTGCTTATATTAAAAAAACAAAAGCGAGCTGTTTTTTTTTCTTTTTAAATCTAATTTTCTTGTTATTTATTGCAACAATCACTGTTGTTGACAGTTGATGACTGCCATTCCACACGACTTGCTTGTTTCCTACATTTTTTAGTAATATGTTATGTCTAAGCGACCATTTTGAATTGTTATTAATTAGATAAATAATCGTAATTTACTAAAGATCTTGAGTATTTTTTTTTTTGCAAATTGCTAGGGCGTTAGTGGGCTGAATTCATTTTTTAGATTGTCATGGTTTTTTTTTTTCGGGGTTCCTTGTCCAATGTGTGAGGATTTTTTTTTAATCTGACATAGAAAGTATGTAAGTAAAGGTTACATAACCTTCGGTCTACAAAGTGTGTTACTGAAATCCTCAGTACACGTCTTAATAAATTACTCCCTTGGAGTATCCCATAATTATCTAGAAAAAAATTAACAACATTTATCAGCGATTTTGGTGTTATCACGCAAACCATTGAGAAGTGGAACTCCTTGCCAGAGTTTGTTTTTCAGAAGAGTATAATATTCATTAGTATTCATTTTACATGCACCTGCGTCTTTAAAGGTAGGCCTACGTCATCAATGGTCGCATCATCACTTACTGCTAACGAGAGACTAGAGGTCATGTGGTTGACCACATGACGCCAATTCTTATTCAAAAGTAAAAAAACAAATACTTGAAAGACAAAAGGGTTTTTCAAGTAGGTTGCGGATCTACAATATAATTATCAATTTCGCCCAAGGTTACTCAATTTTAAGTTGTATCATATGTATCATTTTACAAAAAAAAATTGTAGTGGCTATTTGGATTTTAGTATCACGATTAGCCCTTGTTATTTGTTAAAAATAAATAAAATATAGGTAATATTTCGGTTCACTTTTTTAATATTAAAACTCTTTTTCACTTCACTCAGTTTTTATTATACTACTGAAATTCTGACCTAGAATAACACATAAGAAAATAATATATATTTTAATAATTGTTCTTCTAACATCATTCTAGTCTGTCAAGACAATGTCTTGGGGACATTATTTCCGCAATCACCGCAATAAATAGGTCATTCAGAAGGTTAATAAGAGAAGTTCAGTAGACCATTGATTCTCTTTATTATTCCAATAATGTTTGTAAATGCTACCACTATACGTATGATAGTAGAAGACTTATTAGCGTAGAAATTGTTTCTAAAACCAACTCAAATTCAATACTCAATTCTTTATTGCTTTCCACATGTATCTATGACTTAGGTGGTAGACATAATTAGGACACAATGTGGACTCTGTCGGGGACAACAATATAAGACTTGGAGGGAATACAGTCTGACTTGTCATTCGAAGAAAAAATATAAGTACCTACAATAAAATAAATAACAAATGCATGCAATACTAGATAGTAATATTTAGAAGTCAGAATCATTTTTAAAATTATATACTAAGTCATTCAATCGACTGCACGGTTGGTGCGGTGGCTGGGCAACCGGCTGCCGTGCAACGTGTCGCGGGTTCGATTCCCGCACGGAACAACACTTTGTGTGATCCACAATTTGTTGTTTCGGGTCTGGGTGTCATGTGTATGTGAACTTGTATGTTTGTAAACGCACCCACGACACAGGAGATAATCCTAGTGTGTTGTATTGTTGCCTAGAAGTCTGTCCCTGTCGATAAAGAGGAGAGGACTGCCTCGTTGGCCACGTGATCGCGAGTACGTTTGCCGGGCAGGGGGTCCCAAGTTCGATTCCCGGATCGGGAAAAGTATTACTGAGTTTAAAAAAAATAGTGATCAGTAGTAGCACTGAATCTGGAATTGTGCCCGGTATATGGCAATAGGCTTTTCCCCTGTTACATGGGACTCATAACTTATATAGTGAGAAGTGGGTGTTACATTGTACAGTCTCATTAAGTGCTATAATGTGCACCTCGGCCTACTCCTTGCAAGATAAAAGGCTTGATGTTATGTAGCATAGAGCTTCTGTCAAAAGTCGACCAAAATCCTCAAATCTTGGATTGAGATAGGTCATTGATTTTGGTATAAAATAGAACTTCTTTAACTACATCTGGTATGTGACAAAACTATTCAAATGTCACTAACGTTGTAGTGACGTCATTGATGTCATTAAAAATGTATTTTATTGGTGCAATTTTTATACATATATAATTCAACATAATATTATAAATTCACTGCTATTTTATTACTCTTTCACTCTCATCTTTTTCGTGACCATCGTAAATGTCAAATTCGTATAATTTTAAAATTGTTACGGAAGGTGTACTTTGAGTATATTTATAAAATTAATATATAAGTAGCCATTTTGTTATATATAAAAATAATGTTAATGCGACATTCATTGAGTTGATATCTCTTTAAGAAAATGTAGGTGAAACGTAATTTTTTTCTGAAAATATCGGCTAGAAATGAGGATCTAGTCTACATATCTAGAATACATACTAAAATCGCAATCTACCCTAATCTAATCTATCTAGATTTCCTACTAATTATTTGGGAAGCTACTAGCTATTTGGGAAACAAACATTCTGAATGACAACTATTTTTGCGGTTCGTAGATGGCGCTTAAGACGCATATGGCTTGTTGCTTGTAAAAATTCAATATAATTTATCCAATGCTTTGATATATAACATAGCCTTTTGGATTCAGACATAAGCTAGCCCTCATTATCCAAAAATAGGTAACCTAAAAGCGATCTAATTAAATTTCGCCTTGCCTTTGACTTTGAACTATAAATCAACTATTTTAGAACTCACATTAAAATGACAGAATTTTTTATTTATTTCTTACAATTTGGCACATAATATGTTCCTGGACAATTGTTGTTAGTGGTGGCAAGTATAGTATAATAGACGATTTTGGAGGTATCAGATCAGATTTTCGTCGGGCAAACTATAATACATACACAATTACCAATCTAATGGCCTAATCCAATAGGTTTTGGTATTTTAGTAGTTTTGCATAATCTCTTCCGTCAAAATCTTCGACTATATCACCTGAAAATCTTTAGACTAAAGCTTCGAACTTTGCCCACAAATGAAGGGCAAACCGAGGCCAACACACCTGCCCAGGTGTTTCAAATAAACACACCAATATAATAAATAATATTCTTGGACGCAATCATTTTGTTTTTCCGCAATATTTATCATTGAAAAAGCAATTAAAATGACATTTTAGTTCGTATTTGTTTCAACGGTGTCATTTTAGGGTGCGCTTACATGGGCCATGTACGCCTACACAAAAGCGTTATATGACTCTGGAACTTTTTTATGAGATAGAGCAACGAGCAGACGAATCACCTGATTGTAACCAATCGGCGCCACCGCTCATAGACAACCGCAACACCAGAACAGTATTATAATTGCGCTGTCGGCCTTTAACCTCTTGTTTTTCGATATTATGAGACACAATGAAAACACACTGTGTCTCGCGTAGATCAGCATTTCGACACTTCACAGGTTAAGGGGTAGGGTAATAACACAACTTTAGCATTGGTTCACGTAAGTTTTCAGTACCATTCCGGTTGAACTCTTCAAAGCAAAAACATTTAGTACTATAGGGATCTCTTAGAGTATTTCCTTCGATTCTGGATTAAAGTCCATTGTCT